TCCCAAAATATTTCTTCTACTTAGCTTAAAGTCCTGTCTGTCTGGTCAGCTTTGAATCCAGGGTATCAGTACCCCATTGCTTAAATTAAGAGATGACCAAAGAATTCAACATGCCTAACTAACTCAAACCCACCCTCATCACAACAGTCGCAGTCTTTGGTACCACTATTCTCCTTCCTGCACTTGCCTAAGCAAGGGATGGGGCAGGAGACATATTATATGTGCAACAGTCTTAACTGTTGATTGTCCCAAACTGCTAAGTTTCTTAACTCTCACTGAAGTGGATAACTGCCTCAAGTCCTAAAGAATAGTAGGAGTTTGAAGACTTAATTCTTTACTGTCATCCACATGCACACCTGCATTTGCCATGTAAAGAAATCTGATATGGTAGGGTCGTTCATTCACTCTGTACAGGTGTAAATAATTATACAAGTTGCAAGGCAATGGTGGGGAGGAAGGAAAGGGAGGGGAGGGGAGGGAAATCATGCCTAGAGTGTTGTCTGCAATCAGATGCAATTTAGATAACTGCTGCACATTCTAGATTGGTTTGGTTGTGAACTATTGTACCCAGGAAACAACCCAAGGTAAAATAATAAAACTGTATATATTTTTTAAACATAAACATCACAATGTTTTTATTTTCCCCTCACTTCAAGAATCCACTTTCCATATTTAGTTATATGCAGGGAAGGAAGATTTGGGTAACAACAGATTGCCTAAAAATATTTTTGCAGCACTTAACAAGATCTGTTGGATGATAACTTTTATTGAGCCAACTTTGTAGTTAGGAAAGATGTCAGTCAAGGTTTTGAGCACAAAATATCCTTGTTGCACATACAACATCTCTGCTGTTGCCGAGAGCAAACCAAAGATGGATTCCAATATTCTGATTAAAACTCATGTGTCCAAGAAGTCTTTGGACTTGGCCCATAGGAAGAGATATAACCCTCTCCTCTTACAGTACATCAAGGTAATTTTATGCATGACTATGGATCTCTATTCCATTTGAACGTAGGTGACAGGAAGTTCTGAAAGGCCATTAAAATGTTTTTTTCAAAAATGGGTTTTAAATCCCTGGCTACACCTCTACAAAAAAGATATTACAGTGTACCTAAATGACAACCAATCTAAATAATAGGACTCTGTGAATATGGACCATAGCACATTTTTGAAGAGTTGCCAACTCAGTACAAACCTAGTGCTTTATTTATATTGAGAGGCATTGAATCTTCTGAATGTTGACTCATGCCTGATGCATAACCTGCCAAGTTTATTAAGCACCATATTGTGTTGTTTATAAATTAATATTTTATTAACAAGAGAAACTACATATTTATTGAGTGTATAAGAAATTACATAAAAATATACCATTTCTATAACGTACCTTAATATAGTATGCATTACTATATGCCCCGTAATACATATAGTAAAACATTAATTTTAAATTTTAAAATAGCCTTTAAATATTAAAGTAACTTCTATAATCTCCAGAAGGTAAATACATTTAGTTCTACTATTTATGAACAAAGATAACATACAGCACCAGCACTAGGTCAACACAATTAAGTACTTAAATTTTATTGTGCTTCAGAGAGGGTCAACCCCCCTCCCCAGTTTCTGAAAAAACATGAGGGTTAAATGTTTATATTATATATTCAAAATATGTTTAGCTCCTAGAATTTACCAATATTGCTGCTAATCTTATGATGACTAAACCTTTAAAAAAACCCCAACCCTTTATTCCTACAAAATGTTTAACTTCCATGTCACAAGCATTTTACCTTCATTTCTCATTACCTCTACTAGGGTTTTCATAGCCAAATTAAAAAAAAAAAAAATGATCATCAACCCTTACAGTGAATACATCATATGTTGTACTATAAAGGCATCCCTATTAAATAGCTTAGTTTACATATTTAACATCCAATATGTGTTTCTTGAAACAGGCAAAATATGTCTGTCTACCAGAAAGTAACAAAGTAAGACTAAGCAGAACACTGTGATATGTGTTATCATCATTAATCAGCAGCCAAAGGAAAACAGAAATGCTTACTAAAAAAAAAAATTTGTTTCTTTTATAACCTTAACACATTGCTGCCAGGACCTGCTCATTCAAATGGCAAATGACTCAATCTGGATTAATTTTAGGGCAGTTTTAAAAGCATCTCACATTTATTGAAGAGGTCTTCCTTATGGTTCCAATGAGTCACTTTTTAAACAGTCACTGAATTGTCAGTCTGACTCCCCTGGCACATAGAGCTGTACTTACTTGTAAAAGGACACCATCAATTTAAATTGTTTTAAAGTTGTTTTTAAGCACATCATTCAGTTATCACATATTGGACTCAAATATCACATCCCTAGGAATCTAAAACTGAAAATAACTATACACAACAAGAGTGACATTTAGGTTTTTAATTTATTTCAGTTTGGATAATGGAAATGCAACAAACCAAGGCCACAAATCCAGATCTGTAAAAGTCATTCAGAGGCCTAAAGATGCAGAGACGCTCTTAAAATGTTCAGTAAGCATATTGGTGCCTTATTTCCATTGAAATCCTGACACGGGACATTTCTATGATACCTCCGTGTTATGGCTTTCTCTACCCAGCAGAATCATCCCTTGAAGCCATGGGTCAATGGACAGAATTAAAAAACTTTGGCAGCATGTTGCCACATATTAGCAAAGAATTATAAAACAACACTTGCCGCATTCACTTTTTGCCTGGTGCTGCTCAGTTCAGAGACTGTGGGATATGAGTTTAAGCTGACAGTATCTCTTTAAATTAGAACATACTGTTGAACTATCAGTCCAGAAGCAGACAGATGGCTCAAAACTTTTAAAAAACTGTATGCAGCTTGGGGGAAGCAACTATGTCTACTTATATATTTGAATCACACCAACACTGTTTGGCACTCAGTGAATAACTGTAAATATAGAAAAGACTGCTCAGATAGAAAGTATGCATACTGAATTAGTTATGGGTGTGTTCTTTTTCCAGAGACAAGTAAGGAACAATTAGTTTTTCCACTGTGAAAAGAAACCAAACACTCACTTGCTCTCCTTAAGTTACTTTACAAATGAAGCAAGGGTGATGGAACCTGAGCGCTGCTTCCCTCCTGCATTACTGGATCCTTACACCAGCATAATTTCCCTGAGCGCAATGGAGTGGTAAATCAGACCCCTGAAGTTTTTAGTCTTCTTCCAGTTACCCATTAAATCATAGATTCAAAACATTGAACTAAAGAGCACAGAATAGCTTCCCTGAGTCAACTTCCCTTCTCATTTACACTAGACCAGCCCCGCCCAAGTCAAATCCATCAACCCGAAAGTCACCAGGTCAAATTCCTCTTCCAGATAAGCCAGTGGAACTACTGTGGCTTATATGTACAAAGCTAGAAACAGAATTGAAACCAAGTGTTACACTGCTACAAATCCAGGGAGAATTCAATAATCTTGATTCATGCAGAGCAATCAGCACCTGAGAAGTGAACCTGGGTTCATGAAAACTTGTACTCTATACCAGGGGCGGCAATGTATGTGAGCAGAGTGCCAAAAACATGGGCAACCTCGACCTGTAAGATGTTGGCATGCCAGAGGCAGACAGCAGGGGAGCTGAGGGGCCCAATCCATTTGGGACAGCACAGCCCCAGCCCCATCCCTGCCATTTGCCCAGAGGCCTGCATGCCAAGCAAAATGCCTTCACATGCCATGCTCTGGCACCTGTACTGGGGGTTACCTACCCCTGCCCTATACTATCTCTTATTTCACTAATCTGTAAAGGGGCAGATCCACCCTGCCTTCTATCTTAATTTGTATATGACAGTTTTCCTCAGCCTTTGCTGTATCAGGATGTGCCCACACACCTAGCCTCCCTATTTGGCACTGCCAAAGTGGGTAGGCCGGCAGGTCCCTGACCCGACCCCCACACAAACGCAGGTGGGACCTACAGAAGAGTCTCGTAACACCCTAGGTCCAAAGATATAGGAAAGAGATGCTCAGCGAACATCTCCAACCAAGCCCTATGCAGCCCTGCTGCCCACCAGTAAGTGCTGGGGAAATGGCTTCTCTTCCCATGGCATGGAAGCAACAATCTGTACACAGGTAAATTGTACACAACCTCTCTACCCAGAGAGGCTGCGCAATCTCCATCCTTGGAGGTTTTTAAGCCCCGGGCTGGCATAGTCTTGGCCGGGATGATTTAGAGCAGCGTTTCTCAACCCATGGGTCGAGCCCCAATAGTGGGTAGCAAGAATGTACGAAAGGGTCACGGAAAAACTTAAAAAAATGAATCAACAAACTTTTAAAACAGATTCTCCTTGAAAAGAGAAAAATGTGGGAAACCGGGGCTTTTCCCTTGCAGGCTGGCAGAGCTGCAGGCTGCAAGGGGCTGCTTGGGAGCCCCCTGCTCCACACACATGGGCCAGCGGGGCAGGACCAAGAGGCACTGGGATGGGACCGGCCATCAATGTTTACAGACGGGTCCTGGCACACGAAACCTTGCGAACCACTGCTCTAGATGGGGAGGCTGCGCTTGGAGAAGGGGGCTGGCCTAGATCAGCGTTTCTCAACCTGTGGGCTGCGACCCAAAAAGCAGGTCGCAAGAGTATACAAACTTTTAAACACGGATTCTCCTTGAAAGGAGAAAAAGTGGGAAACCGGGGCTTTCCCCTTGCCGGCTGGCAGAGCTCCAGGCTGCTTGGGGCCTCCCCATGCCCCACACACAGTGGGTCAGGCACGAGGGGCACTGGGTCTGGACAGGCCACTGATGTTTACAAATGGGTCCTGGTACAAAAAAAAAAAAAAAAGGTTGAGACCCGCTGGTCTAGAAGGGGAGGACACTGCTTGGAGCAGGGGGCTGGCCTACACGAGGTCCCTTGCAGCCCTCACGTGCTAGGATCCCGGCTTCAGCCTCCCGTGATGCGGGCCGCCGGCAAGCCCGCACGCCCTGCTGCGGCTCGCCCCCCGGCCCGGCTCGGGGCGCCGGGCCCGCGCTTACCCGTGGTGGAGAGCACGGTGCTGGCGAAGAAGAGCGAGGAGGTGAAGTCCCAGTTCCAGCTGCCCGAGGCGTTGCTGAGCACGGACACGCCGTAGTTGCTGGCCTCCAGCACCCGCGCGAGGAAGCGCTCCAGCTGCGGCTCGCCCAGGCAGGCGTGCTCGTCCAGGAAGCGCCGCTTGAGCTTGGCCAGCTCCTGGCGCAGCAGGTCCTCGGCCGCCAGCTCCACGGAGGAGAAGACCACGGCGCCGAAGACCAGGTAGAGCGCGTAGCCCAGCACCAGCAAGCCGAAGCACCAGGCCGAGCGGTGCTGCTCCACCAGCCGCACGCACGAGCTGCCGGCCAGCGACTGCAGCATCTTCCCCGCGCGCCGCCGCCGCCGCCCCGGCTTCCTGGCCTTGGCTTTGAGCGCGAGATGATGTGGCGGCCACGTGACGCCCCGCTCAGGTATCCGGGCCGGGGACCGCCCCCGCCCCGCCCAGCCCCGGGGGCGGTAGGGATGTGCAGGCTTGCCTTCTGCCTCCGGGCTGCTCCTCTGCCGGCGTCGGCCTGGAGGCTTCCTCTGTGCCTGACGATGCACAGCCCTCCCCTCTGCCCGGAGGCTTTCCCCTAGCCTGAAGATGTACACACTTTCCCTCTGCCTGGAGATTTTCCCCCAGCCTGGAGATGTACAGACTTTCCTTCTGCTGGACAAAGCCATGGCTGGGATGATATAAATGGGATGGGAATGGTCCTGCTCTGAGCAGGGGGTTGGACTAGATGACCTCCTGAGGTCCTTTACAACCCACATTTTTGATGGTTCAATGAAGATTTTCCCTCTGTCTGAAGATGTACAGACTTTCCCTTCTGCGAGACAAAGCCATGATGATATGGATGGGGATGGGGATGTTCCTGCTTGGAGCAGGACCTCCTGAGGTCCCTTCCAGCCCTCATTTTCTGTGGTTGAATGAAGATTTTTCCTTCTGCCTGAAGATGTACAGACTTTCCCTCTGCCCAACAAAGCCCTGGCTGGGATGATATAGATGGGAATAGTCCTGCTTTGAGCAGGCAGGTGGACTAGATGACTTCCTGAGGTCTCTCAACCCTTATTTTCTATCGTTCTATAAAGACTTTCCCTCTGCCCGGAGACTTTCACTCTGTTTGCAGATGTACCAACTTTCCCTCTGCCTGGAGAGCTTCCCCCTGCCTGAAGATGTACCAGCTTTCCCTCTGTCCGAAGATGGGTGTGTGCGCCCAAAAGCTTGCAAATAATAATTTTTCCAACTCTTTAGTTGGTCTAATAAAAGAGATCACATTTCCCCAAAGAACCTCTTGAAATAGGGATGTGAGCAGACAAGGTTCTCAGGGGAAATTAATGTGTTCTCTTTTATTAGAGAAACGAAATAGTTAGAAAAGCTGTTCTTTGCAAGCTTTCAGTGCAAACACCCTCCTCTTCTTTTTTGAGTAGTTTCCATGTCAAACAGCAAAATTCAGTATCTTCTGTGTTGCGGGGGTGTTGGTTGTAGTCCTGTTGGTCTAACAACATTTTGTACCTTAAAGCTTGCAAAGAGCAATCTTCCCAACTGTTTAGTTGGCCTAACAAATATCACATCTACCCAACAAATCTTGTCTGCCCTATTGGCAGGGGTTCTCTGGGTAGATGTGATATCTTTTATTAGGCCAACTAAATAGTTAGAAAAGTTGTTCTTTGAAGCTTTCGGGTGCAAACACCCTCCTCTTCTTTTCCATGTTGTGAAGTTTCCATTTCAAACTGCAAAATTCAGTATCTTCTGTGTTTCTGGGGTGTAGCCATGTTGGTCTAAGGACATTTTGTACCTGAAAGCTTGCAAAGTACAATTTTTCCAACTATTTATTTGGTCTAATAGAAGATATTATATTTACCCAAAGAACCTTGTCTGCCTATGTCCTTAGACTAACACGGCTACAACCAACACCCCCAATAGGACTGTAAAACTTCAGTACAGGTGAGAGAAATACGGACCAATGACATAGAGAAGAGGAATTATAATGGAATATAAAATTAAAATAAAATAATGACATGCTATAGGGCTTCTTTTATTTATGCAGCCACAGAAGCGGGTACACAATGAAATTTTAAAAGGCAGCAACTCTGGGCTCTGTAACCTAGAGAAGAAATTCCTAGCAAAGACCAAGGGCTAGAAATTGAAGTGAGATGAAATCATATCTCAGACAAAAGCACGAATTTTTAACAGGGTGATTAAACATTGACATAAGCAACCTAGGGCTGTGGTTGATTCTTCATGTCTAATTTTCATATCAAAATCGGCAGATATGCTGAAGTCAGACACATGTATTGTGCTCAGTGCAGGGGTAAATAAATGAGATTCTATGGTTCATGTTATATAGGAGGTCAGAGGGGAGGGAAGGGCAGGGGGTCAACACATTCAGACCCCAAGCCCAGGGCATTACACTAGTCCCTGGGCTTTTGATGGCCTCTGAGACAGGTCCCAGCGCTGCTGGCAAGGCACACAGCTGGTCAGGGAGCTGCTCCAGGGCTGGGATCTTTCAGCACTGACAGCGTGGTCTGGAGCCAGGGTAGAGCTGCGATCTGCTGCGATCTGCTGCCAGCATGCCCTGGGTAGGGGTATAGGGATCATGGCTTTGCCCTGGTTCCAGACCACAATGTTACTACTGCAGGATCCCAGCCCTGGCCCCACAGTGACACAGGCAGTGGCTGCTGTGAAATGGAGCCACCAGTCAGCCAGATTTGCCATTTTCTACACCCCTGCAATAGCACCTAATAGTTATATGTCCAGTGTTGCCCCCCTCCACTACAAAAAGGATGTGGACAAGTTGGAGAGAATCCAGCAAAGGGTAGCAAAAATGGTTCGAAGGCTGAGGCACAGGATTTCTGGGGAGAGGCTGAGAAAACTGGATTTATTTAGTCAGCAGAAGAGAAGACGGGTGGGGGGGTTGATAGCAGCCTTCAACTACCTGAAGTGGGGTTCCAAAGACTATGGAGACAGACTGTTCTCAGTGGTGACAGATAACAGAACAAGGAGCAATGGTCACAAGTTGCAGCAAGGGAAATTTAGGTTGGATATTAGGAAAAACTTTCTCACATGGAGGGTGGTGAAACCAGGTTACCCAGAGACGTTGTGGTATCTCCATCTTTGGATGGTTTTTAAGGCCTGGCTCAACAAAGCCCTGGCTGGGATGATCTAGCTGGGGCTAGTCCTATTTTGAACAGGGGGTTGGACTAGACTACCTCCTGAGGTCCCTTCCAACCCTCATTTTCTCTGATTCTCCAGCATCTGTTCATCAGCGAGCGATGGTGGACATTGCAGCTATTCTACTGACTGGTGGTGCATTTTCTTTTGTGGCTGTAAAGATCGATGTTAGGCTTGCAAGTCCTGCCACAGTGGTCACAGGTTTGCATGGCATTAGGGGTGGTCGTACTGACAGACTGTTTCCTTCAGTCACATTTCTGTTGTCATTTGAGTGACCATTTCTCATCGTGATATTGGACTCCAAAATTGAGAACGGAGCGCCACTTTGTCCTGTCTCCTGCTAAGGCCTCCCAAAGGTTTGGGTCAGTTCCAAAAGCTTTCATATCCTGCTTGCAGACATCTTTGAAGCACAGTTTTGGTGCCTAATAATGGGGGAATGGGGGGGTAACTTGCTCTGTGGGTATCAAGCCCATGTTAACCTTATATGTCAAATAAACCTCACTGTGCTACTGGGCCTGACATCACTGCTGCAGGAAAATGCTTATGTGGCACTAAGAGGAGAGGACCCTTCCTTGCCGGGAGGGCATCCTCAGCACTAGGCTAGAAGCAGTCTCTCCCCTTGCTGCATGTTGTCCTTTCACCACCCTCCTTTCCAGTCTGAAGGGAAAATTGTGGAATGAGAAGTCATCTAGACTGGACACCGTTACATATGGTTTCAACAGGGACTCCAGATGCTTACCCTATTGCCTGGCTTAACTTTGCTGACCCCTTTGTTTGTATGGGCTCTTTGTTTGTCTGCCTCTCCCAGACCTGCCCATACCCCTTGCTTTCCCACCTATTGTATTCTAACCACTCACCCCACTTCATAGTCTGCTCTGTGCTGTCCTTTCTCAGTATCTGACAAAAAGAACTTGGGTTAAAAAAAACTTGTGAGATATATATATCTTACTTAGTTAGTCTATCTCCGATGGCTCCTCAGGAGAACAGGAAAAAGAGGGCCTCCTTATCTCTGGTTCAAAGATGCTTGCAAGAGAGATATGGAGGCAATAAACATGAAGCCAAACAACTGGGAGAAGATTGCTGAGGGTGGAAGTGTATGGAAACAGCCTGTTAAGCGTGGAATGAAGGCTTTTGAGGAAAGAAAAGCCCAACATGCAAAGGAAAAAGGGAACCACATTCAGAATGATTTGAGACGAACTTCAAATGTGATAAGTGTAGAAAGAGCCGTCATCAAGAATTGGGCTTTGCAGCCACACTTGCAGAAGTTCAGCAAGCTGATGCTTTAGTTGGAGCAATTCTATTGTCTTGTGACACATGCAGATGCCTACTACTACAATTTAGTCTATAAAGGTGCATCTCTATATTGCCTTTTGTCTGACTTCAGACTAACATGGCTAACCACATCTCTCCTTTCCAGACATTGCTTTCCAGCCAGCGGCCCACTTACAACAGGAGGGGCAGAGGATACTCTCAGCCCTACCCAGTCCATGGCTTGTTGGTTAGGATATAGGGAGATGTGAACTCACCACCTCTTAATGAAAATGGCCCATAACCCAGGCCTTCTACCTCCAAGACAAGTATATTTTGCTTTTGGGCAAAGGGTAAACATCATCATCAACTTTGTGCTATTTTTCTCCACTTAGAAAATTCAGAACTTATGTCCTTCCAAGAACAGAATTGCTGTGTGACAGAGACTAGATGGATGTAGAGGTTTTAGCATTTTGGAGGTTGCTGCGTGGGATGGACCAGAACTGTGTTTAGTGACATGTAGTAGAATCTAGGTCATAGTTGCCCATTGAATAGAAAGTGTCATTTTTACATGGCCAATTTTCAAAGTAAAACTATGCCTTAAGGCTCAGTCTGACACTGAGAATCAACTGAATCAACTGAAATATTCCTACTGCCTTAAATGGGCGCTGGAAGAGGCAGTGGTTTACTAAATTACCAAGTTCTCCTTCCCTTTTAATACTATTACAAGTACAATTTTCTGTCTTAAATGGTCCCCAATCCCTTAAACAAATCATAAAATTCAACCCCCAAGGTTTTGCATGTCAAAGAATAAGTGGCTTGTCAAAATACAAAAAAGACTTTCCCTAACATATCTGGGATCTGACAGTTTTAAGCTGGTTAGACCAGGACATCATGACAAGAAATCTTTAGGCTCACCCTTGGGATCATTTGAATGCTATTCTGTGTCTGCAGATATTTATTCATTCAGATTAGTAACTGCTCCAGACACCGTACAAAATGAAATTTAAAAAAATCCAAAGTCTCAGTAGGTCAGGAAGACCATAACTGGGCCTCAGTATTTTTGCAACAAACTTTTAATTTACCTATCCCAATAACTTCCTCTGGCCCCACCTCCGAAAATGTCTGAGAGGTGCTATTTCATGCAACATGCCTTGAAAGGCACCAGATACAGTATCTGGTGAGCAAGGAGGAAAAAGTAAAGGAGGAAAAAATAAAAAGTTCCTCAATTATGATATGATACCGCATTCCACCAGAGACCTCCCAGCCACCTTTAAGAATCTAAGCAGGTTACAGTACCTATGGTTTAAGTACCCAAGACCCAAAACAGTCAAGGTGGTACAAATTAAAATGTCTGCCTTCAAGTGTAATCCGTAGGCATGTCCACCAACTTCATAAGACTTAAATGTGAGACTGAAATCCAAAACTGAAGTACATAAGGCAAATTATTCATTCTAGAAACAGTGATGTAAATCCATCCTTATCATGTAGCCAGTATTTTCTGTAACCTGCTTCCTTGATGCTTCATTCCTAATTTATAGAATTTTCAGCAACAAATATACACAAACATAAATGTTGTGCACAATGTAAATAGCTTTGGGGGTCTAAAATAAGTAATATTCCTCGAAATGAGGGAAAGTTATGATGCATGCCCAGAAATCAATTGGCAGCAAAGCGGATAGAGAGAGAGGAGATTGGTCCCAACAATGTCAATTCAGCACCTTTCAGCAGCCCTTATTTGTCTTCAAAATGTATTTATTTGCTGTAAAACACTGATACAGAGGAGCAGTGCTGTGTAAATCAATAACAACAATGACTAATAATGAATGTTGTGTAAGGGAATGCAATACAGCGAGACAAGCTACCCAAGGGAGCATTCCGAGCAAACATTTTTTGGCATCCAGTTAAGATTATACGTAATAAATCCTAAATGCATAAAGAGGGGTCATGGAACCTCCTTGAGCAGTGGTTTTCAAATACTGTTTTCATTTCCTCCACCAGTTTAATGACTTGTCCCCCCAAATTCCAAGTGACTGAGCATCACCATATGTAATAGAAAAGCTGCTTAAGTGAAAGCAATGCTTATTGCACACCGAGCTTTCATCTTCATCAAATGCATTCAGTCTGATAGAAACACAGCAAGCTATGTGCCAAGTTACATCAGTATCAAACTATTATGGTAGGGTTACCATATTTCCAGTTTCAAAAAAGAGGACACCTGTGGGGGGAGGAAGGGGAGAAGAGGAGGGAGGGGGAAAGGGGAGGAGAGGAGAAAGGGGAAGGAGGAGCAGGAGGGAGGAGGAGGAGACGGGGAAGGGGTATATGATGTGGGGGGTGCAGCGATACGCCCATGCTCCACCTCTGCCCCTCACTCCTAAGCCACAGCCCCCCCAGCCCTGCTGCTGGCTCTTACTCATGACTGACTGTACCCTTCCCCCAGCCCTGCCAGTGCCCCTTACTCCTGACCTACAGCCCCTACCACCCCGGCCCTGCCAGTGCCCCTCACTCCTGACCCACAGCTCCCTGCCCCCCAGCCCTGTCAGTGCCCCTCACTCCCAACCCGTAGCCCCCTGCCCCCAACCCTGTTGTCCACGCAGTTGCATGCATGCACACTCTCTCTGTCTCTGCCTCTCTACCTGGGATCAGCTGCCAGGGCCTGCATGCAGAGCACATGAGTCCCCAACAGCCAATCACCTTGCTCAACTGCCCCCAGCCCCAAGCAGCCAAGCTGGAAGTGCCTGGGAAAAGCCAGAGGCAGAGCAAAAACCTGGGCATTTGCTTGCATTTTAAAAACCTGCCTGGACAGGAGGGCACGGGGGCATAAAAGAGGACATGTCCGGGAAAACCCGGGCATATGGTAACCCTAATTGCAGTTAGGAATGGGGAAACAAGCTTAAATATAGATATCAACCACTCCATTCCCAA